TACTTGGATGGAGATCGAGTTGTCTCATTGGCACTCTTACCACATCTTGCTATAATATCTATTTATTAATTTATTTCAATCGTTCACCATCATGATTGCATTGTCTGTTGAAACCTTTAAAGATTTTTCCTCAACACCGTGTTGTTTTTATAAAGGGTAGTAACACCACTACTAACCATGTATTGAAATTAGCCCCGCCTCCCTACTAACCTAATATGGAATATACACGGTCTCCACGTGGTTGCTTTTGACCAAACATATTCTTAGAAATGTATAGGAGGTAAGATCAAAGTTTATATTTGTCTCACATATTTTATGCATACAGTATTCCAGACTATATATGATGAAGGCATAATCTTTCAATAAGTTTATAATTCAGGTCTGGAGCTGGCATGTCAGTATTTACTGCTAGAAGTCCTTTGTTAATTTCTGTATCATTGTCATTTTGTTTAGTTTCTTTTGTTACCTATTCTGACATCGGACTCGGACTTCTTTTGAACTGAGTTTTTCTGTGCGTATTGTTGTGTGCTTGTTTTTTTCTAAATTGGCTAGAGGTATGAGGGGGGGATTGTTCTCAAAACACATGTTTAACCCCACCGCATTTAAGTGCCTGTCTCAAGTCAGGTGCCCCTTGCCTTTGTAAGTCTTGTATTATTTTTAATTTTAGTTTCTTGTGTATATTTCAGAGTTTAGTATGACGTCCATTATCACTGAACTAGTACTAGTATACATTTTTGTTTAGGGGCCACCTGAAGCACACCTCCGGGTGCGGGAGTTGATCACTGCATTGAAGACCCATTGGTGGCCTTCGGCGGTTGTCTGCTCTTTGGTCGGGTTGTTGTCTCTTTGACACACTCCCCATTTTCATTCTCAATTTTATAATTTCGACATAGCTAGTTATTACTGTGTTAAGTACTACAAGGTTATTCCTGATGTTATGCTTTAAAATTGGTGTAAAGTGTAAAGCTACGAATGTGTAAAGTGTAATGCTATATATAAACCTAAGGGTAATCAGGGACTTTCTATTCTAACTAGTATCAAAAGTCCCTGGTGTAATGCTATAAGAATTTACTTAGTGTGATGCTATACAAATCGAAATTAATCGATGTTCTCCATGTGAATTTGATGCTCTTCATGCGAAAATGCACTGCGTGTGATGTTATAAAAGTTCACTCAGTGTGATGCCACACGAAAGTTCCAAGTGATGGGATATACTATGAACTCAGTGTGATTCTATAAAATATGACCAGCTTAGTGTTATATGGATGTACCAAGTGAGGTGCTACACTATGTACACGAATCCAATGTGAGGCTTAAACCTTTACGAATGTACCTAGTGTAGTGCTATAAGAATGTACCTAGTGTAGTGCTATAAGAATGTACCTAGTGTAGTGCTATAAGAATGTATACCTAGTGTAGTGCTATAAGAATGTATACCTAGTGTAGTGCTATAAGAATGTACCTAGTGTAGTGCTATAAGAATGTACCTAGTGTAGTGCTATAAGAATGTACCTAGTGTAGTGCTATAAGAATGTATACCTAGTGTAGTGCTATAAGAATGTATACCTAGTGTAATGAATACTGTTCATACTGTAATGCTATACGCATTTGCCTAGTGTTGTGCCATAAGAAGTGAACATGCATATAAATTATAATGCAAATGAATCACTCTGAATACTGAATTCAGAGTGAATATTTAGTGTAATGCGATAACATTACTTATCATTTGTGTACGTTAAAAATTACCATAGGTATATAATTTGGTAGTAGCTAGTCTTGCAGAATTTATAAAAATAAGATTTTTTTTTAGATTTTTTGTTTAGGTCTTTAAAAGGTACGAAAATGTAAGAATCTTATTAGCTCACCTGGCCCGAAGGGCCAAGTGAGCTTTTCTCATCACTTTGCGTCGGTCGTCCGTCGTCGTCGTCCGGCGTCGTCTGTTAACTTTTACAAAAATCTTCTCCTCTGAATCTACTGGGTCAAATTTAACCAAACTTGGTCACAATCATCATTGGGGTATCTAGTTTAAAAAATGTGTCCGGTGATCCAGCCAACCAACCAAGATGGCCGCCTTGGCTAAAAATAGAACATAGGGGTAAAATGTAGATTTTGGCTTACATCTCTGAAACCAAAGCATTTAGAGCAAATCTGACATGGGGTAAAATTGTTTATCAGGTCAAGATCTATCTGCCCTGAAATTTTCAGATGAATCTGACAACCCGTTGTTGGGTTGCTGCCCCTGAATTGGTAATTTTAAGGAAATTTTGCCATTTTTGGTTATTATCTTGAATATTATTATAGATAGAGATAAACTGTAAACAGCAATAATGTTCAGCAAAGTAAGATCTACAATTAAGTCAAATTGACCAAAATGGTCAGTTGACCCCTTAAGGAGTTATTGCCCTTTATAATCAATTTTTAACAATTTTTCGTAAATTTTTGTAATCTTTTACAAAAATCTTCTCCTCTGAAACTAATAAAACAAATTTAACCAAACTTGTCCAAAATCATCATTAGGGTATATAGTTAAAAAAATGTGTCCGATGACCCCGCCCGCGAACCAAGATGGCCGACATGGCTAAAAAATAGTACATAGGGTAAAATGCAGTTTTTGGCTCATATCTCTGAAACCAAAGCATTTAGAGCAAATCTGACATGGGGTAAAATTGTTTATCAGGTCAAGATCTATCTGCCCTGAAATTTTCAGACCAATCAGGCAAATCGTTGTTTGGTTGCTGCCCCTGAATTGGTAATTTTAATGAAATTTTGTCGTTTTTGGTTATTATCTTGAATATTATTATAGATAGAGATAAACTGTAAACAGCAATAATGTTCAGCAAAGTAAGATCTACAATTAAGTCAACTTGACCAAAATGGTCAGTTGACCTCTTAAGGAGTTATTGCCCTTTATAGTCAACTTTTAACCATTTTTTCGTAAATTTTTGTAATCTTTTACAAAAATCTTCTCCTCTGAAACTACTAAGACAAATTTAACCAAACTTGTCCACAATCATCATTAGGGTATATAGTTTAAAAAATGTGTGCGATGACCCCGCCCGCGAACCAAGATGGCCGACATGGCTAAAAATAGAACATAGGGGTAAAATGTAGATTTTGGCTTATATCTCTGAAACCAAAGCATTTAGAGTAAATCTGACAAGGGTAAAACTGATAATCAGGTCAAGATCTATCTGCCCTGAAATTTTCAGACCAATCAGGCAACACGTTGTTGGGTTGCTGCCCCTGAATTGGTAATTTTAAGAAAATTTTGCAGCTTTTGGTTATTATCTTGAATATTATTATAGATAGAGATAAACTGTTAACTGCAATAATGTACAGCAAAGTAAGATCTACAAATAAGTCAACATGACCAAAATTGTCAATTGACCCCTTAAGGAGTTATTGCCCTTTATAGTCAATTTTTTACAATTTTTTCATAAATTTTGTAAATTTTTGTAAATTTTTACCAAATTTTTTCCACTGTAACTACTGGGCCAAGTTCATTATAGATAGAGATAATTTTAAGCAGCAAGAATGTTCAGTAAAGTAAGATCTACAAACACATCACCATCACCAAAACACAATTTTGTCATGAATCCATCTTTGTCCTTTGTTTAATATGCACATATACCATCACCAAAACACAATTTTGTCATGAATCCATCTTTGTCCTTTGTTTAATATGCACATATACCAAGGTGAGCGACACAGGCTCTTTAGAGCCTCTAGTTTTATTTGTCACTGCTTTACTTCTCACTATTTCGAATGGCCAACTCTCCATAACCCGGAAAGGGTAAACATTGCGGTAGACATGTCAGATTACTTTTTTTTCTTCTAAGTAATCATCTTTAATTATACACAATGCAAAACAAAAGAAAACTCTTTTGCTACCGCTTCGAAATTTGAATTTAAAAAATAATCATCAAACAAGAAATGTTATATTCTATTTTTATCAAACAGGTGTAGTTTCAGTTTTATCCAGGAATCTAAATTTAGATTTGACTTTCCCAAGAAATTGCGGACGGAATAGAAGACACCTAGTTTCTGCATAAACAAATACACATCGTTCGCTGTTGAGTCAACTTTAAATGTAGATTTTACTAATCTACTATACACACGATACATATAAGAGTGGGCTTTTTCTTTTGTGTTTAATCTTTAGTTAATGTGTAGTATTTTGTATACTTTTTTTGTCGTCTTTATTATTTTCTGAGTGGCGTCGTATATCGTCTTCTTGGCTTGGCATTTTACAATTTAACAGTAATATGAAACGTGTTTAAATTCATAATAATTGCATACATATAATTTTACATTTTTTTTATATATACCTAAACTCAGCTTTGTGTTGATATCAAACACTAACATGCCAACATTTTTCCCTGTCTGTCGATGTTGTTTCCCTGTTGTAACTGTGTTAACGTATGGGCAATTCACACACTGGATGTAAAGGAAACTTCCCAACCCACATCTTTTTTCACCACAGATCATGTGTAATAGCAGTGGGGAAAGACAATGTTTACAAGATTTCATTTGCTCTGCCAAATGTGAAAGTTCAACAACCCTTCTTCCAGCTGTCCAGTCATCGGGATAAGGGATCTCCAGTATGTCCGATGCGGTGTCATTTCGAACGGGGTCAGGTCCACTGTCAGAAGCAATCTCAGAGTTCTGGTCTAAGTCAATACGATTTTTTCTTTTGATTTTTGAAACTGCACATGTATACCTGTTTCTAATAAATTGCCCACAGTTATTTCTCGGTTGTGCGTCCATCTTTCATTTCGTGGAGTAAGGGGAATAACTCGCGTAGCTAGGATGCACGTTTTATTTCCCGAATTCCGCTAGAGGCGTGCAATTACGTATACTTCGCCTTAACTCGAAAATTGCAAAGCTTGAGCATGGCATTTGTGTGACAAATTCTTTTATTTCTAGCTTCATCTGTAGGGCCTTTATAGTATGTTTTAATAGTCATGTTTTATTATTTAAACACTGGTTTATATTTATAGTGATGCCTTGTTAATCGCTGTAATGGATCTGGTTACCAGTATAATAGCAGGTTTTGTCATCTTTACAACATTTGGAGGATTAGCTAAGAAAACAGGACTTCAAGTCTCAGAAGTTGCCAGGGGAGGTAAGCAAGGATGTTTTCCATTTTTAATCAAACGTTACTTTTCAATACATTGTAGAGATTATGGAATAGATTTAGATGAAGAAATAGTTTGCCATAAATTACTTTGTAATTTTCTTGTAGCATGCCTTAGGTCTTTATTTGTAAAGCTATTTTAAAATTTAAATTCTAATATGACAACCTGTTATCGTCAACCAGCATAATCATAGTATATCTACTTTTAGCGCAAGCACATAACTACATAAAACTAGCTGTTCTGTGTTACGCCCAACTTAATTATACTACTAGGTATTCTCAAATTTTGACATTAAAACCCACAGAATATAGTCCAAGATTCAGATACCATTTAGTTATATCTATTCTAAAGCAAAATAAACATATCAGTCCATTTCAATTTATTTTTTTCGTGCTGAAATTTCATCAAAGGAAAATTTCATGAAATATTATCGTCTTTGCATGGCAATGAAACAAGGTGACATCATATGTATGTTTTCGTAATCAAAAAATCAAATGTAAACACTCAGTGTTTTAAAGCTTCTATACATCTCAGAATGCAATAAAATTACATTAGAAGAACATATGTAGGTGAAAAATACGATTTAAATTTTTTTGTTTTATTAAATTATATAATATTATCATATGGGGGTAAAATGGAACAGCCAAAACAGTATCTTGCGTATAGGGCTATCACAGTTAACAAAATTACTGAATTTGTCCCATAAGAAAACAAATAATTCATGGCAGCCACAAATCTACAGCTGCCATGAATTATTTCTTAATTCATATTTTCCTTTAAGATTTTAATCAAAGATGATATTTGATATTGAATTTGATACCACTGAGACTATCACAACAATTCAGAAATGATCCTCTGTTCAGAATCTGTTAAAACAAACAAAAAAATCTCTAGTAGAAAATACAATTCATTAATTATATTTTTTTCTGTTACAGGTTATGGATTAGCCTTTGTAGCCTACCCTGAGGCATTGTCTAACCTACCTCTACCTCAATTATGGTCTGTTTTGTTTTTCCTCATGTTGTTTACACTTGGACTTGACAGTGAGGTAAGACAGATAGTTGTAAATTTTATTTAAAGGAAAAGGATTATCTCCCCTTTGCACCTATAAATCGTGTTTAATGGTAATATAAACCAGGCAGAAACCCAGTTGAAATAGAACAAAAGAATCGAAGCTCTTTGTTTGAGAAGGCGATAAATGCTTACTGTAATGTTTACTATAGTAACAATATTTATAAAAGTTAATAGAAACAAATAAAATGACAGTTTTCGGCTAAATTACGAAGTATTTTATCATAAAAACACCATTTGCATAAGTTTTCAATTTATCTATTACATAATTAAGCAGAACAATTAGATATCAAGTCGACGACATAGGTTTCTATACAGTTGGATCTAAAAAAATGCATAACCTCCGATTTAAAAAAAAATAATACCACGGACGAAGAACATATCAATCTATTTGTTCCTTAATTTTCGTTTCTGCCCTTCCATTATGTGAATCAAGAAATAATTCTAAAAAATGGGTAACAATTGCATCGAATAGAGAAAATCGAGTGCACCTTTTTATGTTAGGGCGTGTTTGAGTTGAATATTTTGTCTTGAAAACGTAAAAAGCAAAAATATTTGATACATCATCTCGCTTCAGATTCTATCATTTATATATATCAAGGCTACAGGTTGACTTTATAACATCGCAAATTCACAGTACTAAAAAAATGAAATATATGGGTCAAGTAAAATACCTTTCTAATGAATCACAAAAACAGAGTAGGTGTGTTCGAATACCAAATTTTTACTAAAAGTGCTTGACGACAGACTTTTAAGTTGGATCTTAAAAATGCATATCTTCGAAAAAACTTCATTTTTTGTGTGTGATATCTAGGGTTTATAGTCTTCAACCACTGAAAATTTTTAGTCTGCCCTTCCACGAAATATTTAATTAGAATTTTTTTAAATGTTTGTGAATTTTCGAAAATTCTACCTGACAACCGATCAGACAATAATTTTAAATTGACTGAATGCAGACAAGTACATTAACTGATGCTCATAAGCTAGTAGATACATTTGTTTTTTAAAATACAACTGGCATATAAGGATCGTAATGGTGATATGTGGATAAATTTATCGGTTTTCAAGAGCTAAATTGGCAGCGCGTCATCCCTACAATGGCTTCCATTTTTATGATTATAAAAATGAACTGGCGTAATGGGGAGATAATTTTGACGAAGTAGAATCCTGACTGTAAACTACAGGAGTTCTTTTCTAATAAATTTTGTAAAAGACCAGGACTTTTTTCTAATTTTTGACTGGAAATAACCCATCTATTACATTAGTATGATAATTTCATCTTATACTCTTAACAAAACTTGAATATTATTCCCCACATTTTTTTTTTAACTTTTGCAATGATAAAAATACTGTGGATTCTTTTATTTTTTATGGATTTAGGAATAATTATATTGTTGTGGACTATTTCTATGCAAACCTATAGGCAAGTTTTATTTTATAAAGCATTGGTTCCCTATGAAATACCAACAAGTCCAGTTTGTAAGATAGTCATAGATTAGTATGAAACAGAATCAACTGTTACAGCCGATTCCATTGAGTGAGTAGGCAAAAGTAATATCTTTGGTTAGCTTGCTTGCTAGTTGAACCATGAAGTCATTATAAGGTAAGGTATACTACCCTCCTTTCAAAGTAGCTTAGTCCTACAAACAGATAATCTATCAGACTAGTCTACTCTTAAAAGGAGGATAGTTTACCTAACCTAGTCTTCACGGTTCAGCTAGCAAGCAAGCTAACCAATACTATTACCTTTGCTTACACACTCATTGAAATCGGCTGTAATTCTTTGAGTTTTGTGATATGTAATGCCTATTTTTATTTTGCAGTTTGCTTTATTGGAGACAGTTTTGACATGTATACAGGATGAGTTCCCAAAACTTAGAAAATATAAGAGTCACATGTGTATTGGATTGGGAGTGATATGTTTCTTTATGGCTTTACCATGTATAACACCAGTAAGTATAAAAGTCATATGTGTATTGTTGAATTGTGTGTTTCTTGGCTTTGGGGTGTGTTATGCAAGTGAGTATTATATTCGTGCTCATATGTATGTTTTGGTGCACATGGTGGGTTTCTTCTTGGCCTTGACATGTTACACCAGTAGCTTTAAAGTCTCATGTGTATTTTATTCTTCTTGAACAGTAATTATTTTATTTTCTGCTCTTTAACAAAATGTCTATTTTATCTAAATTGATATTAAATGTATCATTGAAAATTCTAAAAAAAAATAGTAACAATATAAGGGAAATAACTCTGGTACTTTTTTATTTATACTATACAAAACAGACTCTACTTTTATAAGCAATTGTGAATAAAATAATGTAAAGAAGATTTAAACAAATTGTAAGGAAATTGATATGGTTTTGAAGGACAATGCAAGATGTTTTTTACTGTGGCAAAGGGTAGAGGAGTACAAAATGTTTCTTGATAAAATTTAAAAAGATACAGAGAACACCAAAATGACAATCACTATTTTAGTTTAATAAGAATACTAAAATGACTAAAAGTGCATAGTATGAGGAAAAATAACAAAGAATTTGACAAAGTATAAAGTCTTTATAATATTTTTATATAGTTGTTAAAATATATTGAAGTATTTGTGCAGAGTTTTAGATATTAAGATATTGTTTAGTTCCAAAATTGGAGACTGATGTAAATTGACTTGAGATTATCTCTAAAGAAATTACCGTAGTCTAATTAGATGAAGTGGTTTGCATGCATTGAACTCCGTCTTGTGTGTAAATGATGTTTTATTATTTTTACAGACAGGAGATTATATAGTAGGATTGATGGACAGTTATGGCGCTGATTTCTCTGTATTGTGTGTAGCCACATGTGAATGTGTATCCGTACTATGGGTTTATGGTGAGTGATTTCTCTGTATTGTGTGTAGCCACTTGTGAAAGTGTATCCGTACTATGGGTTTATGGTGAGTCATTTCTCTGTATTGTGTGTAGCCACTTGTGAATATGTATCCGTACTATGGGTTAATGGTGAGTGATTTCTCTGTATTGTGTGTAGCCACATGTGAAAGTGTATCCGTACTATGGGTTTATGGTGAGTGATTTCTCTGTATTGTGTGTAGCCACTTGTGAAAGTGTATCCGTACTATGGGTTTATGGTGAGTGATTTCTCTGTATTGTGTGTAGCCACATGTGAATGTGTATCCGTACTATGGGTTTATGGTGAGTGATTTCTCTGTATTGTGTGTAGCCACTTGTGAAAGTGTATCTGTACTATGGGTTTATGTTGAGTGATTTCTCTGTATTGTGTGTAGCCACTTGTGAATGTGTATCCGTACTATGGGTTTATGGTGAGTGATTTCTCTGTATTGTGTGTAGCCACATGTGAATGTGTATCCGTACTATGGGTTTATGGTGAGTGATTTCTCTGTATTGTGTGTAGCCACATGTGAATGTGTATCCGTACTATGGGTTTATGGTGAGTGATTTCTCTGTATTGTGTGTAGCCACATGTGAATGTGTATCCGTACTATGGGTTTATGGTAAGTCAGTCATATTTTCTTTGAACAAGGAAGTTAAAAGGGTTTTAAATGAAGATGAACATCATGTTTCTTTATGAACATATGAATGAACCATCAACTTTAAATCAACAAAAATATTCATGGCCAAATGAATTTAAGATGATTTTTTTTTTAACAATTTTCATGATTTATCATAAATCAAGCAGCTAAACATGAAGATCAAGAAATAAGATTTGGTATGAGTGCCAATGAGACAACTCTCCATCCAAGTCACAATTTGTAAACCATTATAGGCCAAAGTACAGCCTTCAGCACAGAGTCTTGGCTCACACCGAACAGCAAGCTATAAATGAGCAGTGCAAAACCATTCAGACATGATTGTCTAGTCGAAGTAGGAATGTTCAGTCCATGGCACAATTTAGAGAATGCCATGCTGTTACACGACAACACACTTGATGTATACAAAGCTATCCGGTTCTAACTCAAAAATTCTTCCCTAACGTATATTATTTGTTTTAAAATTTCAGTTTGAGTTATCTGCCCTTTATTCTTATCAATCAACTTTTTCATCAGATACTTTAAATTAATTATTATTCATACCAAAAAAAATTGTTCTTTTTACTTTTTTTCACAGGAGTGACAAGATTTATAAAAGATATTGAATTTATGTTGGGTAAAACCCCAGCACCAACAACATATTGGTTGTTTTGTTGGGTGTTAGCTTCACCACTTCTTATTGGGGTAAGTAATATACTGTTCAGAAATTATTGCGAGGACTGGATGCGATTGCAATAATTCCATGCGTTATGACACCTGATGCATATATATATTTATGCAGATTAGACTTAATAACAATAAATTTCAAATTTTTATCCACTTTTAAAAAATCGCAATAATAAATGCATGCAAAAATTTATGAATATACAGAATTTCAGGTTTAATCATCTTTACTCTATGTATAAAACTTTTAGATATTTTTAAAATAATCTATATCAGGAAATATAAAAAAGATGTGGTATGATTGACAATGAGACAACTCTTCACAAGTGACAAAAATGACACAGAAATTAACAACTATAAGTCACTGTACGACCTTCAACAATGAGCAAAGCCCATAACGCATAGTCAGCTATAAAAAGCCCCGAAAATAACAATGTAAAACAATTCAAAAATGTTTTTATGAGTATTTGGAATCTTTTCAAATATACTCTTCTTAACATTTTTATACTTCCTATTTAATTGTATTGTGCATAGCTATAGGTAGTGCACAACAGAGATCAAAATGCTCAATTGTCTAAGGGCCTATATTGTGATAAAAATCAGCACAAAATTCCACAACAACCAACAACATCCTACTTCTCTGGAAAAACAGAAAGGTTCAAGCAAAAGTAAACAAAAACGTATAGTTAACTATTACTAAATTAAACACCATGCATCTAGGAATAAAAGAAAAGAGGAGGTCTTATATAGTGTAAAATAATATTTTAAGACTGTTCTATATTTCATTCATTACTTGTTTTCACTGCTCATACTGAATAAATTTTACAGATTTTTGACAATTTATGTTGTTGGGAAAAGCTACATGGTCTGTTTGTATACTATGAGATTGACTATGTACCTAAATTAAAGTAATATTTTAACCATTGCTTATGTATCATGTTGACTTTACATTACAGGGTCTGTTTGCATACCGTCTAATTGAGTATGTACCACCTAAAGTAAAAGATGGGGTATTTTCCCCAGAATTCGCCCAGATTATTGGATGGTGTGTGACTGCCGTAGTATTATGTTCTATACCTTTGTACTTTGTTTATAAATTCATCATCACTCCTAGGAAAGTCACTGAAGTGAGTATACACTGAAATATTCAATTATTTAATTAATTGTTTTTTGGCAGTGTTGCTTCATAAATAGCACAATGTTGGAATTAAAAATTAAGAATTTTATTCAATGAAACATTGGGTACATGTGCTAAAGATTGCAAGGTAACTAAGTTGTATTTTGAAACAGGACAGAGACAGAGACCAAAAAGGTCTTCTTTGTGAGAGTTGCTCACTGTGAAATGCATTATTGTTTTCAAAGAATTTTTGGTTCAACTATCCATACAAAACTCATGAAAATTAGTACTCCATGCAGTGTTCTCCCCAGGATTTTTGGATAGAACCAGGGTAACGCATGTGGACTTCTTGGTGAAATATTTCATGCAATCAGTTGTGTTGCGTCGCGTCACGTCGCTTAGCTCTAGTTACTGTAGTTTTTATGTCTCTTGTTTTGTTTTAACACTGTGGTACTGTGTTATGTAGACATTGATTCAGAAAATTATTGGTAAAACGAAGTAAATAAAAAAACAGTTTGTATACTTTAATATTTTTTAAAAATAAATAGATTATGATTCATAATAAAATATTCATCTGAATTTAAAGTAATTAAATCTTTTATAAAATCCAAAATCAATAAAAATAAAATATCATTCAAAAGAGAACAAAAATGTTCAATTTAAAAAACTTTCTAGTTTCTAGAAAAAAAGTTGTTGTATGTGAAAGGATTCCTGTCATAAGAATATATAAAATTAACAAGAACAATTGCAAATATTGTTTTATTATTTGAACCAGTTTCTATCTTAGATTTTAATATAAAAAAGAAATTTTTCATAAATTTTAGAACATTTTGCCATAGATTTCATGTAAATATTAACCTTCCTTGTCTTTGGTGATATTCAAACATAGATACAGACTTAATACTGCCCTAAAATCTAAATCTTTATTTGTCATGAACCATTTAAAAAGAATTCCTAAATCTATAAATTTATCTTTGGTCTATAGATCTATAAGTAACCATATTCAATGTCAACAACTAAGTCTCCCTATTTTCCCGCCTAAATGACAGGAAGTAGATATAAATAGATTTAACATGTGCTTATGGATAAAATTTGCAAGATTACTTATTCATTAATTATGGATATAGATATCCAGTTTGAAGGTACAGTCATGCATTTTATTTATAAAATATAATAGATTGCAATTAATTGTAAATAAACTTGAATATTCTACGTGAACTAACTGGGTCATGTGATATATACAGACAATTTGAAACCCGACTTTCATGCAATAACAATGTCATAATTAAAGATAATATTGGCCATGGTTTAATCAGAGACATATAATACTATAATATAAGAATTGGGAAATGTATAGTTGTCCATTATACGTAATGAGCCACCATTATGATGTACAAAAAATGTTCCTATCGGGTCAAGACACTGTTTGTGTACAAAGTATTTGCCGACTTGTCACAGGTCAGTGCTTGGGTGGAGAGTGAAGCCATAAAATAGTTATCTGTGATCATAAAGTTATGAACTCTTAATTAAAACACAAAAGAATCATGTTACAAGTGTTAATTACATCGATTAAATCCAATCAACAAGGTTAACCTCATAAGGTAAATCGATCACGTGGTGTAAGCAATCTGTGTTGAACTGGTTTGAACTGGTCATATTTCACCTGGAATTTTATACAGCACGGAAAAGATTTAACAAGTCATCGTTTAAAACTTTACCGATTTACGATTTTTTAACTGAAAATTTTAGCACCACGGAGAAAAATTATACATTGCGGTAAGAACGATACCACCACGGTAAAAAATTAAACATTGCGGGCCCGCGGTCCATTAAGGGCCTGGGGAGAACACTGCTCCATGAATTATAATTGATTCACAGTAATCTACATTTTTGATAACCACTGTAGATAACATTGCACCAAACGTCAAATTAACCACATATTATTGCACCAAACATCAACTTGACCACATATTATTGCACCAAACATCAACTTGACCACATATTATTGCACCAAACATCAACTTAATCACTTATTATTGCACCCCAAACGTCAACTTGACCACATATTGCACCAAACATCAACTTGACCACATATTATTGCACCAAAGTCAATTGGACCACATATTATTGCAGCAAACATCAACTTAACCACATATTATTGCACCCCAAACATCAACTTAAACATATTATTGCACTAAACATCAACTTAACCACATAATGTTGCACCATATGTCAACTTGACCACATATTATTGCACCAAACGTCATCTGGACCACATATTATTGCACCAAACGGCAACTTAATCACATATTATTGCACCAAACAAACGTCAACTTAACCACATATTGCACCAAGTGTCAACTTAACCACATATTATTGCACTAAACGTCAACTTAACCACATATTGCACCAAACGTCAACGTAACTACATATTATTGCACCAAACGTCAACTTAACCACATATTATTGCACCAAACGTCAACTTAACCACATATTATTGCATCAAACATCATCTTAACCACATATTATTTATATTTACAGAGACTTAAAATAGTAACAACGCCAACAGCTGACTGGGGACCTAATACCAAGGAAAAATTATACAATGCTGACTCACAGTTAACAGACATTGGAAAAGCAGCTTACGCTTATGACAATGCAGCTTCACAATTATAAACTATAGCAATATTAGAATCATAAAGATTGTTTCTCTTTGAAGTATATTTCAAAATGAATTTATCACACATAGTTTCAGGGTACTTGTATAACAAAGAAATGCAGAGCTATTTTTAATTTTTACTCAATAGTGGAGAATTTTGTGAATATGACAGAAAACCATCACAAATATATTGTAAATAGGTTTTCTCCCTGACTTTTTTCAGTATTTTAATCAATTCCAACATAATTTTAGTGCTGAATTTTGAAATGTACATAGTTTTACATCTTTTTACTATATAAATGCAAGATTTATAAAATGTTTTTAAAGTGAATTTATGGATTCAGTTTGAAAAATTACATTTCTTTAATTCTATATGACATTATTTTTAACTTAAAACTCCTTAATTTTTAATAAGTGATTTTTTTAAAAGGGATGAATTGAGAAATTTTATGATTTTAAATTTTGTTTTGGTTAAAGACTGCTTTTTTTTAAAGATGAATATTAAAGATAGAATTGTTATAAAACTAAATACAAAAATCTGCCTTTCTGAAAGTAGAATGAAGTTATAAAGTAAAATAATGATTTTGCTAATATTTCAAATGTTGCATACATTAGATACCTCATTTGTGTTATTTATTTTTAGGAACCAATTCATTGAAATGTTGTAATTAAAGAGTTGTCTTCTCTTGATTGTACTGCATTTTCAATACAGAATAAACTGTGTGTTCAATGCAGGTTAACTTTGCATCTCAAACTTTAGTTACACAAATTATTAATCATCCAGATTTACCTTAATTGAGAAATTTTAAATTTTGGAAGCATCGAAACAATATTTTCTTTTTTAGTTTGAATCATCAAAAAGATTTTTTTTACAAAATCAATGAGATTTATACCAGAAACAAGGGAGTATTTAATAATCATGTCTGCATTAGTTTGATATAAAGATGTTCACACTTTCATGACATTCCTTTAAATTATGACCTTTTTATATGTATATAATTTCCCTTCTACAATTTTAAAGTTGTTAAACATATCAAACAAGATTTTTTTACAAATTATATATATCTACATTTGTACATATCATGTATATCATTTCATAACGAGGAATGGACGTTAAGCAACCAACAATCAATCAATCATAACGAGGAAAGATCCATGTTTTGCTGATTAATACATATTAGGTCTGAATTTGTCTAGTTTTATTATATAGATTGGGCAACGGATTCGTGTGGTAATTTTCTTGTATCCGTGTTTCCAAATATTACATTAACTATTAAAAGTAGATTGAAACTACAATTCCTATTAGTCTATATATTTAACTTTGTTTGGTATGACATGTTACAAAATCATTCTTTTACTGATAACTGTCCATAGTAATTACACTAAACAAGTAACTTAAAAAAGATGTAACAAAGCAGAATTTAATTGATAAAGTATTTTATTTTTTACTTGAGACAGAAATTGTTGTATTTTTTAAACAGAAATATTTTTAAGATAGTTTCCGTATTTTTATTATCATTGACATGTGATTTGTTGGTGATATTTTATTGTTATTGATATTGTTGAAATCCATGAATCCATTGTTTGTACAGTTATCTCATTAAAAATAAAAAGATACAAACATTTGTACATTTTTTGTTTGAGTTTGCTGTTTCATAGATATATACACCCATTATCTCTATTCAATTGTATACAAACTAGACGTAATTATTGTCCTTTAAGTATCGCCTGCATCTGATTTGGTAGAATGTCGGACGTAAGGTGCTTAAAGGTTTGAAATTTCCATGTGGCATAGATAGTTTTACATCATTATCATAAAACAATACCTGCATAAAAATGACATTTTTTTTAATTTTGTAATTTTTCAAATTATTAGAACATATTAACTTTATTTGGAGTATGGAATCATTGCAATGTATAAATTGGACATGATTTTAACATTGCCTGGCCAAAAGGCCTTGTGAGCCTTCAATGCCACCACTTTGCCTCCATTGTCTGACCAACAGGTTATTAAGTCTTCGTTGGGAAGACTTATTGTTTTTGCTCAGTTATTATTATTCTTCTTCTTCTTCCGCCGCTTTTAAATTTGAACTTGTCCGCACCTGTTCTCCAAAACTGCTTGTCAGATTAACTTAGGGTTTAACAATATGTTAGACTAACATGTCTAGTGGTGCAATCAGGGTTTTGTTTGTGCAATGGGGTTTATAAAGGGGTACTTTGAGGGGCAAAAAGAAAAGAGGGTTTTACTATAGAACCCTATGGGATTTTATATTTTCAAATTTTCAAATGATTAGAAATTGAAAACCGTTTGTGATAGACACAATCTTTTTAATTGAAAATGTTCTAAATGATAAAGCACATTAAATGAAATACAGGGTTAGTCCCCAGGGGTCACCCCCACCCCATGCCATTTAAGAAAGTTCTAATATCTTGTAAGTGGTCAAGATCCCCACCCCTAAACCATATATATTCTGGTTTGTCATGCTAAGATGGTTTGAATGATATACAGGGTTAGTCCCCAGGGGTCATCCCGACCCCCTGCCATTTGAGAAAGTTCTAATATCTTGTAAATGGTCGAGATCCCCACCCCTAAACCATATATATTCTGGTTTGTCATGATAAACCACATTAAATGAAATACAGGGTTAGTCCCCAGGGGTCACCCCCACCCCCTGCCATTTAAGAAAGTTCTAATATCTTGTAAGTGGTCAAGATCCCCACCCCTAAACCATATATATTCTGGTTTGTCATGCCAAGATGGTTTGAATGATATACAGGGTTAGTCCCAGGGGTCATCCCGACCCCCTGCCATTTGAGAAAATTCTAATATCTTGTACATGGTCAAGATCCCCACCCCTAAACCATATATATTCTGGTTTGTCATGCCAAGATGATTTGAAGTATATACAGGGTTAGTCCCCAGGCATCACTAATGCATATAACTTTGCTGGACCAAACCAATTTTCACTGGACTTTGCCCAATGTCAGGCGACCCTGGGAATTACGAATTATGGGAGCTTCGTTTGGGAGACTTCGTAACAGCATCCTGTTACAATCATTTCTTGTTGTTTGTTGTCTTTGAAATTTTGTTTAAAACCTAATGCCTGACACTAGTATGTGGATTGAAATAAAGTTTTCTGCTTCATTTATAGGATGTCTTTGAAGTTTTTAGACTCATCAACAAACATGGCCAATATGGCTTAAAATAGAATATAATGGTGAAAATGAAATATAGATAACTAGAGCAAGGAGAGAAAAAATTAACAAGGTAAAACTGTTCATTACACAAACTGTTCAAACCTGGATATATTAGAAAAACATGTTGATTTGTTTGGAATTATTGCCCCTGAAATTAACTTTGGGGGGGGGGGGGGGGGGGGGGAACAAGACAAGTGCATGTTGTACCAGAATTGTCGGGAGCAGTGGCATCAACAATGTTATTTTTGTGATTAGCTTAATTGATGAAGAACCTGCGTTATAGGTATGAACTATGGCACATCTCATTTCCATGGAGGTTCTTTGGCCACATTCCCTTCAGTGAGTCTTTAGGTTTGCACTCCGTCTGTCTGTCCATCTGTCAGTCCACAAATCAATTTCCCACACTTTTTTTTCTTTGTGTTTGAAGATATTGGTCAAGTCCATATATCAGATACTATAAGCAGTAGGTTTACTATATTTGGTATATGGAATGATTGTAAGGTGTACACGACTAACTGGTAAGGGTCATCCGACCTTGAACTCATTTTCATGGTTCAGTGGTCAAAGTTCAGTTTTTGAGTTTGGTCAACTATATTTGTTGTAAAGAAATATTTTATGATGTACATGTCAGTCTCAAATGTTTTATTTAACCTTGACCTCATTTTCAAGGTTCATTTCTCAGTGTTGAGTTTTTTGTGTTTTGGTCTGTTTTTTCTTTAACTATAAGCAATAGATCACCTATATTTGTTAGATGGAAGGATTTTAACGTGTATGTGTCTGTCTGGCATTTATCATCTGACCTTGACCTCATTTTCATGGTTCATTAGTCAATTTTTAGTTTTCCTGGTTAAGTTTGTTTCTAAAAAACTTTAAGCAATAAGTTAGCTATATTTAGTGTATTGAATGATTGTAAGTTGTAAATGTATTTCATGCTTGGTATATATGACCTTGACCTCATTTTCTTGGATCATATTAAAGGGGTACTAGCTGTCAAATTCCAGGTTCACCGATTTTAATCAAATTATAATATTTGATTTATAACAATGTAAAACATTTATCCAAACTATTAAAAGTCTAAAATAAACGATTAACAGGGCACGGGTATGAAAATACGTAGCTTCGTTTCGTGTGTTTTAGTCTAGACCGCCATCTTATTAATTATCGAGTTGACCTCTAAAGTCATCCGATGACCATATAAGCGATGTAAACATAAATATAGATATAAATAGATTAAGCAAACTCGTGCTCTTGGATTATTCTAGGTCTATTTAATTTCATATTATAGATGAAAAATAAGTGTTTATCATCGTTTTTACCTGTGTACATTTAAGAATGATTTTCTGTGGATTGAATCAGTCAATCAAATCTTAATGATTTACCTTTGTTTAACTTTCAATGTTGACATTCTTTTCCTTTAAATAACTTTACACATACAATTCACGTGTTATCCATCTCAAGCTAAGGGGTTAAATTGAAGTTCACATGAATACGGATTCAATGAGGTCGAATAATTCACTTGCAAGTGAATAATTCAAATCAATGTATTTTAGCTTATTTTGACAAAATTGAACCATACTGGCTGCTAAAAGTAAAAGCGAAATATTATTTCACAATTTGCATTTCATTAATGATTGAGCAAACACAATAATATATTAGATTTTTAATATATCTCGTAGCTAGTGCCCCTTTAAGTCTATGTAATAGCTGTAGTAAAGCTTTCTATTTAGGACTATCAACATAATATCAATGGTAAGTAAAGAAGGCGAGACATTTCAGCGTGTGCACTCTTGTTAGGACAAGTTACAAATCAAGTTCGAAT